AGAACGACTGAGAAGCCCAAAAGTTGGAGGGTAGAGGTCAGGGGTCGGGATGAGAGCAAGGGATGTCGTGGGAGTGCGAGGGCTAGACGGAGGAGCCGTTTGCGAGAATAGTGGAGGCAGAAGTGGTAGCAGCCAGCGGCGAAGTAACAAGTAACGGTAACAGCGGCAGCGGAGTGACAGGAGCGGTAGTAAAGCAGGTAGCGAGGTGCTGCTTTACATTTTATTGCTTGCCGTGGATTCACCTGATTTACATAAAGAGACAGACGACGTAGCAACGTAGCTGCGAAAGCCCGATGGAAAAGAACTTTCTATAGCAGCCACTGCCACCGAGAACTATTTGTCGCGTTACGTGAAAACCGGCAATGAATTTGCACCCTGCCGTACCAAGACCAAGTCTTCCCACTGCGAACCCAAGGGAGAAGCAAATAAAGTGGAAAATCTACATTTTACGAACACAAGGGATGCCGATTCGCCGATTAATCGAGATGGGAGGAATCCACCACGTGGGTTTGATGAAAAAAAAAAAAAAAAAAAAAATTATCCTTACCTACCAAAAGCTTCCTTCGAGCTTTCCCTATCCTCTATTCCCTCGGTGGTATCGCCACACGCGGGAAGTCCTGCTGTACCGGAAGTTCGGGTAAACGGCTAGAACTTTTCTTCTAAAGAGCAAAAAGTGGACGATCCCGATGACTGGGAAGCTCCGCGCGTTTAAGTTCGACAGAGGTCCGAGAGACCGGAAGTGCCTGTCCGGCTGGGAACAGCGATGAGCTTCCGAGTCGTGTCGTCGTCGTATCCTCGGACTTGGCTACTGCGGTTTTCCGAGTTAAGCGAGAACTAACCTCAATGCCGCGTACAGCTGCTGATGGTCAGTTAAGAAGTTACGTCGTTCCCGCAAGGTGGAGTCAAGTGACGTGTTACGGTCTGGTACTGTCTGTATATCGGCAGAACGTTACGCGAGCTCGGATACACGGAGGTACGTATGGCGTCTAGTACGAGCATACGTAACGCATATAGGCATTATTATGCGAAGCCTGGAGGCGAGGCTGGTAGTGACGTCATAGACGCCGAGACGAAAGAACACATTTGCCCTTTCGGGACTGCCGGTAGTCTAATGCGAAGATGGGAGGGGGGGGGCACGGCGGAGAGAAGGGATGAACTCGTCGTCGGAAATTCCAAGAGCGCGATATTCCACGAGCCCAGCCTCCGGCCGTATCCATTTTCGAAATATTGGCAAACCGCCCGGTGTCGCCTTTGATCTTCGGAAACCTTTAGCAAACGGTAATATCACCGGGGCTCGGTGCGGTCTCGAACTTTGGGGTTTTGGATTTTGGGTTTTGGCCATCCTGGAAACGAAGCCCTGACAATTTCAGGTCTCCCGTTCCCGCGACACCTGGGTCCACCACATCTGCGGAACGACCCTCGTCATTATCTAACGCACTGGTATGGGTTGGGTGTACCTTTGTCCATGGCGAATTCTCATTTTAATTAGTACAGTGGCGCCATCATCGAAGCCCGTCGCTTCCCTACTGGATCCGATACCACGAACAGTCGGATATCCCAGGATTATGGCGAAGGTTCGCCAGGGTGCAGGAAGTTAGACCCCCGATAATTCGAAAATTTCGGTTCTACTTGTTGTTCTGGCTTGTTCTATAATGTTCCAGAAAAAGAAGTTTCTCAACTGAAATTTGTAGCGATGAGGCGACAAAAAAAAACACTTTTTTAATCGAACCCCCCCGACTTATGGAAAATCAAACTTTTTTTGTTGTTCCAGATTCTTCTAGTTGTTCTAAATATTGTTCGAGAATATTAATAACGATAAGTAAAGAATACTCGAATGGGATCAAAAGAACGTTTTATACATAGCAAGTAGATATAGGACCATTGCGAACGATTTCCAGGTTATTCCAGCTTGTTCTAGGTTTTCGTAGGTTTCCCTAGGTTTTTCTAGATTGTTCCACGTTGTTTCACGTCCTACCACGATCAGGTAGGACAGTCACATAAAACCAGGGAAACACTGGAAAAACTGAGAAGGACGAACGCTCTCAGAATACCATGTGGATATAGGACCATTTCGAACGATTTCCAGGTTATTCCAGGATGTTCCAAGTTGTTCTCGGTCTATCGATGATTGTTCTAGAATTGTATAACGATCGGGCAGTCGCAAGTCGGATAAAAGTAGGAAGAAACGATTTTATATGCATAAAACGTTTTTTTGATCCCATTCGAGTATTCCTTACTTAGCGGAATTAATATTCTCGAACAATATTTAGAACAACTGGAACAACCTTGAACACCAAAAAAAAGTTTGATTTTCCATAAGTGGGTCGGAAAATCACTTTTTCCGATAAAAAAAGTGATTTTTTCGACTCATCGCTACAAATTGCAATCGAGAAACTTGTTTTTCTAGAACATTGTAGAACAAACTTAGAGCAACTCAGAACAAAGAACGGAACCGGAATTTTCGAATTATGGGGGACTAACTTCCCTGACTTGGTTCACCAGCCTCCATCTTCCTCCCTTATCGCTATACCGATATACCCAACATCGGCATTACTGAACTTGCTCTACTTGGACTAGGTGTCCTATACCTTATGGGCTCGTTCCAGCTGCATATTTCTACCTCGTTTCAGCTTCCTAATGCGCGATAGAACCTTCGAACGGTCCTTATCCTTATCCTCATCCACGTACCGGAGAGCACACCTCGGCGAACTCGCGTTTACGAAGCGATGCAATTTCATAGATAACTAACCGCGGTCCATGGGGTCGCTCTGTGTCTACTTTATATAGTCGGTTCTTTGTCCGTGGCGCGAACCACCCCGCGCGCTTACCCGCTTTCACCCACTTTCACCCGTTAGTCAAGATCCCTCCTACCTCCCTTGGGAAACGGCTGAACGTAAATTACAACTTTATTTGTCTTGGGGGAGTCTCGCCGAATCGAACGTACCAACCAACCGCAGACGCCTTCAGGCTCCTAACATTGCTAGTACGTTCGTTTTCCTACCTACATATACTCCGTTCCTGCTTATACTTTCTATATATGTATAAACTCAATACCCCTCTTTGCTTATAGGCTTGCGATTCTCCCCCCCCCCCTCTCGACGCCCCTTCCTTCTTCAGGCATCTTACTTCTTATAGTTTCTTGCTTGCTTTGGAAAGCTTCGGCTTTCATGGCAAAAGATTGGCGCGAGTGAACAGACAGGAACGTTCTGAGGAAATCGAAATCGGTATCCATTCTGGAGAGAATTACATGGCGACAAGTGCGAGAATTCCGTAAAATGTGAATTTGAAAGATAGGGAAAGAAAGTAAGTAAAAAAATAATAAAAATGGGATAACGACTGTATTACGAAAAGTAATATATATTTTTGTTTTTGTCACTCTGGTACGAATAGCACGTTGAGTAACGATCTGGCTTGAAATAGCCGGCAATCGGCTACCACAGCGACGCGACGTAACTGCTTTAGCGTCAAACTGCATTTCGGTAAAATTACCGAAATCACGGCGAAAGTATCGGCGAGTTTTAACGTTAATTGCACGCCGCTGACGTCACTCTAATGTTTTACGGCAAATTGGGGATTTATTTCTGTACCGGTGCCAGCCAGAATGCTGATTACACGGAAGTTAACAGGCAGAGCGAATTGCAGTTTAAAAATAATAGATTTACCCGCACTTTGCGTCCAGTGCCATATTTCACGTACGAAGTACCTGGGATATTTTTGTCATTCGCGTGAAAATCATCCGTAGCTACCAATGCGTTTGATCGGCTCATCGGCTGTCCGAATAAATCGTCAATGCGCGGCAAGAAGCTATAAAAAAAACTCGCACTCGAAAATTCTCCACATATAATCCAATTAAGCGTGATCGTTAAGTCAATTCCTATGTAAAAAAAAAAAATCGATATTTCTCGGCAACAGCCACTTTACGCAACTACCTTCACAGCCAATTGGCCCAAGGACGTCACGGTGTCCCGTGACTATCAGAAACCACACGTCTACGGGTCTCTCGTTCTGAACGTAGCCTACGATGAATAGACCGAAGGTATCGGAGCGAACGAGATAATTAAATCGATAGGTAATATTCCCATCAAGAGTATGATTTAACGGTATCGATATCCAACAACCGATAATACGCTTATGCATTAGAGCAAGTTCGTCGAGGCTCAATGAAGTCAACGCCAAACTACCCCAAAACAGAGATAGCTAGTTTCACCATTAATGAAGTTCTCATTGCACCGGAAAATCTGTGGTATCATTGCCGATCCTAATGGGTTTCTAATCGAGCGTCAATTAGCGTTAATTTATCAGAAACCGGCCGTTAAATCTGGCGTTTGGCATACGGGAATTAAAGGAAATAACGAAAAGCCGTCAAAGCGTTAAAAAAGATCAACGTGTCGTCGGTCGATAATATTTATCTCGATTACCGAGAAAAAAAAAAAAAAGAAAAAAAAAGAAATTTCACATTTCCAAACGATAATAATTCAAAATTACGTAAAACGATTTATTATTGTATATTGTAGTTAACCTCGTGTTCTGGCTGTCAGTGGAAATTACCCTTACGAGACATATCTATTCCATGCGCCACATGTCCGTACACGGTACGCGTGAGTAACGCGTGAAAGTATACACGTATATACGTCACAAGGTTACAACGTGCCATTATTCTCGTAAACGAACTCATAGTGAGTATACGTACCTACTGCTCCATTACACTGTTCCCATATTTCAAACTATATACCCTTATACCTGGCTCTGACGCCAGAGCCTGGTATCTACGTAGCCTCGATGTCTACGATCCTGGATCCTGATGCTTAGTGCCTTTGTGACTTAACCTATAAGCGCGTCCACGGTTTCTACAGCGATGCAGGCACATGAGCGTCCAGGAGATTGTTCGACCTTGAGTGCCAAGCCAGCGTGTCTATTCTCGAGTTAATGACCTCAAGGCGTCGCTATTGACCGAGGAGGATCGTTGGATCGCTCGCTTTTTTAAATTTCAAATGACTCACCTGTCGAGAGCACGTAGACGCAGAACAAGCGGTTGGTCCTTGACAGAGTCCGTAGCGCCTCGGCGCACTCGGTTCCGATGTTCCCGCAGTAGCGCCGTGTCGTACCAAGCGGCTCCATAATGCCTGATGTAGGAACCGCGCGTGATCCCTGAAACAAAGGAAACAGGTCGCATGAGCAATGCTGATAATCTGAATAAAGGGGTCACTCGTGTGATTCATAACGATTATTACCGATCCAGTGAAACTGTCACGATTCATGAGATAAAGCTATATAGGGTCAACGACCTGATACGTGGGTACCGATACCTCGCAATGGCAGCCACGCTGGAAAGGTGGTGTATATATTTTGAATGATGAGGTTCTCTTGTCAAGCGAGTGTGTATACAGGACATTGATAATATTTGCGATATCGTATGGATAAGGAAATACAAATGTTAACCACGCTGACACATAGGAATAGAAAAGACTCTTGGGAATGTCGCGACTATATGACGAGTATGGAGAACAAAGACAGCGATGTATAGAAAATCCTCGGATATAAGCAAGTCGTGATCTGGTACCAGAGCGGGTGCTGAATCGCAAGTGTGTAGACGCGGCGAGGATTTTCATAGAAAATTATAAAAATTTTCAATGTCAAATTTGGACCAGGAAATTTTTTTAGGAATCTCCGGTCAATTACGATCATCGCGAAGAAATCAGAAATCGATACGACGCTTTCGAACAAATCGTCGGATTATCGTTGCCGGGGGAATTGTTTGTTATCGGTGAGAAGTGTAAATTATTTCGAATTACATACTAGAAGCGCATGTATAATCGTAAATATAACGTTATCTCATGCACGTAACGTACGAGGAGGATTACGCCAAAAGCATTTCCTAAATCCATAACTGTCCGCATACCGAGACCAACGCGATTCGCGGTAGCTGAAAATATTTTTCGATTTTTCTACCCTCAAAAAGATCGGGAACTGTCCAAAAATTGCGGCACGAGCGCGTTACGGGTAATAGCAGTTATATCCTGCAACACACTGCAAGGGTCGTTAACTCGAGGAAATTAGCCGCGTCGCTAGCTCCGTGACCATTAAGCCGCGTTCACAACGGAGTACAGCAGCAGCAGCAACGGCAACGGTGACCGCGTTCCTCCGGTTCGTAGTTCCGCGAGAAATTTTTAACCGTCCCGGGTCGCGAGGTTGCCCATTGGTCTCGACCATTTGACGCTCGATTCACCGTTGAATTTCCCGCGAAATGCTCGACGCCCACGCAAACACGTACAGCGCAGCCCTTACTGTCCCTGGGAATGTTCAGTCAGTGTACGCTGAAAAACAAAAAAAAAAGGAGACCACGTACGTTACACCTAGCCAACAATTTACGGAACTTCACGTCACTCCAGTCTCTTCCGAGCCGCATGACGAGTCGTGCCAACGACGCCTTTGCCCGCCGTAAATTTAAGTGCGACGAAAAAAATCCGACGCTGAGTCTGCCGTCGTAAAAGCACAGAAGAGTCTGAAAAAAATGTTCCAAGCTTACCGTGACACCACAAGCGATGCAGCGTTGACCCGATTTTTCGTTCCTTTGATTTTTTTTCTTCGTCGATAACGGCCGTAACGTCAACAGAACTCCGTCGGTAAAGTAGAAACGCCGGCATACGTCGGTAACGCGATGCATAAATTGTACGGGCGAGTCAATTGTTTGATTTTCGTAGACACTTCGTAATTATCCGTGGCTAAGCTCGGATTACGGATCGGTATTTTGATCAGGGGTTATAATGGCGAACCTGTCATCCTCCTGGGAGTTACCGGGCTATACGTCACTCTTAATTCTCGCACTCCGCAAATATAACCACCATCCGATTAGCATTGACGTGCCGATAATGTACGTGGTACATGATAACGATACGGCTAAACTATGAATAATGGACACTACCAGCGCGATTACCCAACCGATCCCCGTACAGATATATCAAGCTCGAAATTCGCCATTGACTTCAAGTGTACAATCGACTCCCTAATAGCTGACTCCGTAAGGGATTACGCTGCACGGAAACATCCCTGCGCTACGTATACCTCTCTCCGACTGCGAAGCCCATTTACGTGCCGATGGCGCGCGATAATCGTAAAACGTGTCTCGCCGAGTGACACCGAAGAAGAAACTTGCAACTCCATTTCCGAAGCGTAAAGTTCACAGTCGTTCGCGCCTAACGGAGCCACGCGAAGTAAAGCAACGTGCGAGTCTCGACGCACGTGCGATATATGGCTACTAAATATACCAAAGTCAGAAACAAGCCTAAGCAACGAGCAATAGGGGCAAGTGACAGAGCCCTATGAACAATACAAACGAATCGAGTAGTAGGAATGACGCAGCCAACAAAAGCCGATCTACGTCGTATCACCTTAGACATGGTCGCCATGGTGATGGACGCTGCTAACCTGTCGCTCTTTGAAAGCCTATAGCGCTAACACGGCTGCTTCAATAGGAGACCCAAATTGGGGTAATATAATGAAGCATCACGGAGGGCAAGTCATGCCGAGATCAAGCGTGGATACGGGAGGACATTGTCGCTCGTCGACAATGCCGACTTAATAATCGGCTATGCGACGTAGTCCTCCACCTCATCCACCTCGTGGAGTTCCTGCGGTTGGACTGACTGAAGAAAACGCGCTCGATACCGAGAATTGAGCGTCTGCCAACTCGAAGGCTTCGTACACAGCTTTCTATATACATATACACGTACAATGTGAACATATAGAAATAAGCGTGAAATCGAAGGAACCACGTGACTAACTTCAAAAGATAATTTCGCGTCCCACTAAAGAGCCGCGGCCATTTTGACTTCTCGGAAATATCATGGCCGGGATGCATCATGGGACGTATGCCCGATAGGTTCGAAGACTGGAATTTATCGAAGTCGATATAAGAAAAAGAAGAGAGTGCCTCGTGGAAAATGGGGAAGAAAGGGTGGTGGTGCTAGGTAGAGCGTGACGAGAGAACCGTTAGATACGAGGACCGAAGTTTCCTTGGGGGTCCTTCATCGCATCCTGATTCTCGAAGGCGCGACGGTACGAACTTTTCCACTTAAACTTGCCACACTTTTCATGAATAGATTATATTTCTCTGGCGTTCGTCCTGGTAACACGGGTCGCGCTCGTCAAAAACAAAGTGTCCTCGCTCGCGAGGTGGACTCTGCAAAGATATTATATTTCGCGATACTGTATAAAATAAGTGACAAAAATATATTCACGAAATTCAAGTCGACCGAGATGCTTTGGACAATTTATTTCCTGGGTGCATCAAGCGCGTCCGGGTACCGCGTGTTAGCTCGCCTAGAGACCTGCAACGTTGTATCAGCTGTGCGTAAAAGTGTCAAAAGAAATGTCAAGTGTCTCCAGCGTGGGATGGAAAGTAAAAAGAGTTTAACCCGTAGGCGTGCATCTACGGCCCACGAGGTAAAACCAGTTCACCGTCCGACCTGACTATTTTCGGTCAAGCTAATTATCCATATGCTTTGACGAAGAGAACCTGGCAAGTACAGCTGAGTCTGTAAGTTGATACGTAAAGTAACGACAGAAAAAAAAGTATAGAGGGACGAAATAGCCTCGGTATGTAATATAACTTTGCCTATGACATATGTCAGTAATACGTACTTCACAATTTTACTTGTGACAAACACCCTATATTATGTCTATTTCATTAGACGTGCACAGTACGCGTAACGAATTGACAACAGTTTGTGCCACTTTATCGCTTCAACCACAAACTGAACACCCTGCGACTCAAGTGTCTCCCCGATGAAATTTCCTCGTCGATACCAGGTTTGATGCGCGGCTGTAATCATTTTTTTTTCCGTTCATCCCTTTTTTTACCTTTGCCTATTCCTTTTTTTTTTTTTTTTTTTTTTTTTAAAA